GTTCTGGAGTGGGACCTTCCTTGGGGACCCTCCCCTATCCTGTTGGGGCACCCAGAAATCCGCTGGGCTGCCCAGAGCTCCTTTGGGCCACCTAGATCCTCACTGGGCCACCTAGATTTCCATTGAGCTACCCAGATTCCTTCTGGGAGCCCTTGAACCCCGTTGGGCCACCTAGATCCCCACTGGGCCACCTAGATCCTCGGCAGGGGTCCCAGAACCCCTTTGGGCCACCTAGCTCTTCATTGGACCACCTAGAACCCTATTGGGCCACCTTGATCCTCGCTGGGCCACCTAGAACCCCATTGGTCCTCCCAGAACCCACTTGGGCCAGCTACATGCCCGCTGGGGCATCTAAATCCTCATTGGGCCAGCTACCGCCTCCTTGGACCACTTAGATCTCCATTGGACCAGCTAGATCCCCACTGCGCTACCTAGATCCTCATTGGGGCACCCAGAACCTGGTTGGAGCACCCATGACTGGGGTGGGGGCACCCATGACCTGTTGGGACACCCATATCCCCTTTGGAGCACCTAGAACCTGGTTGGGGCACCTAGAATGGGGTTGGGACACCTAAGATGACGTTGGTGTGCCCATGACTGGGGTTGGGGCACCTAGAACCTGGTTGGACCACCTTGACCCGGGCTGGTGTGCCCGTGGCTGGGCTTGGGCACCCAGAGGGGATGGGGTGACAGTGGTGGCACCCCCCCCCAGGCCCAACGGGAACTGGGCGGAGCCCAAGGCCTGGCGGGCGGTGGTGGGCCGGCTGCGGCTGCAGGAGACGGGTGGCCAGGAGAGGACGGTGGTGGAAGTGGTGATCCACGAGGGCTACCGGCGGGTGGAGGGGGGCCATGACCTGGCGCTGGCCCGCCTGGAGTCCCCCGTCACCCTCGGGCCCCGCGTGGGCACCATCTGCCTGCCCCAAGCCCACCACCCCTTCGCCTTCGGCACCCCGTGCTGGATCACCGGATGGGGCCACGTGGCTGAGAATGGTAAGGCCTGGATGCCTGGGTCCCCCGGGGCTGAGGCCCCACGGTGGTGGGTCTTCTTGGGTGGGTCGTCGTCGTCCGGGTTGCTGTGGAGGCGGGTCTCCATGGTGGTGGGTCTCCATGGGGTGGTTCTTGGTCATCTGGGTCCCCATAGAGGTGAGTCTCCATGGGGTGGGTCCTCATCATCTGGGTCCCCATGGTGGTGGGTCTCCTTGGGGTGGTTCTTGGTCACCTGGGTCCCCATGGTGGTGGGTCTCCTTGGGGTGGTTCTTGGTCACCTGGGTCCCCATGGTGGTGGGTCTCC